ACGGGAATCAAATTTTATTCACTCAGATTGAAAAACTGAATATTGTGCGTTGTTTAGCCTCAGATCATTATAAAAGTGCTGAAGCGCACGTTTCAACACTCTTATAATGATCTATGGCTTCCCAAGATTACATTGCAAATAATGGAGAAGGAGGTACAGAGCAAAATGCCTCTGTGGTGGGCGACGTTCGCTATAGGCTTACTTAGAAAGGGTTTATTTCACTAATCGCTTCGTGCACCCTACACATCGCGGATCTTTTGCTTAGAACGCAACGCGACTTGACGAAATGGAAACGTTGTAACGCGGTCTTATTTGTTTGTTTTCAGGAAAGCTAGAAACTACTTTTTCAATACTTTTAAAGTATTTTTTGTCAATCATTAGAAATAATGTGCGAGTAAAATTGTATCCGCAGCATCGCTGCGGGCGCCATTTTCTCAAGCTTGCAGAAATGAAGGTTCATCCTTCACTCAAATAGTGACCGAAGTCGCGGCTAAGGGTATCTCCATACTTCATAAGGATCGGCCGATCCTTATAGCGCAAGCGCAATAAAAATCGGCCGATCCTTATTGCCCGTTGATTACCGATTTGGCGCGATTCGACTCTATCCCAGCCTTTCCGCGATTTTTTCTTCCGATCTGACTTGCTTTCTTTCTTCAGGTTATTTTAGAGTTCTCAGAAGTTGTCCGCACGTGTGCCGGAAAGATGAGGACGGGACCCCAGGCAAAATGATATTTGACTGCGGCACAGCAGCAACCGCCGCGCACCCTCGATCGGCCGATTCTTATTACGCTTATAAGCGTTATAAGGGTCGGCCGATCCTTATGAAGTATGGAGATACCCTAAATCTTTCGCCGTAGGGCCAGGCTTATCATTGTCATTTACGACTACGGCTGAAGGCAATCAGCGGCATAATACTGCTATCAAGACTTGGGTAAAAGACATATTTAAATTGATGATCATGATATTGGGAACTATTATAGCATGAGCTCCTGTTAATATGGAGGAAATTTTCTAGGCAAATTGTGGTTCTGAAAAAGCTTCACTGGCGGTCCGTACGGCAGGATGTGAAAACATTTATCAATAGTTGTGCCTTTTGTAATCAGAAGAAGCTCGAAGGAAAGAAAATTTTGAAGGCTCCCGTGGACGTTACCAGTAAGTATAAGTTCATAATTTTGTTTCTTTGTTAATATATACTCTAGAAGCTTTGTCTATTTGCGAGTTTGCATTCGGCTCGAGTTCAATTTTCATCTCTTGTGATATCTCATGCAATTCTCGTAAAAAAGTTAGAAATTCTTCCTCCAAGAAAATCGTCCACATGATAATATAATACAATGTTTAATTTTCCCCTGGTAGAAGATTTGGTGAAAACAAATCCGTCTAAGAATGTTTTCAGGTGATAATTTCGATCTGAATGTTGAAGTGCGAAGTAAACCACTGGCAAATGGGGAGCTGTATGACCGCTTAACTTTCAATCTAATTGGGTAAGGAGAACATGCTCGCCACCAGTAAGAAACTGATATAGTCGAATCTTCAAAAGTTTGACGCGGAATTCAGATTTCTTTCTAATCAACAATTTGATGGTTCTTGAGCTTGTTTAAAGTTATGCATGTAAATTCATATTGTTCATTTTCTTAGGTACAACGAACAAGAGGTTCGGGCTGCAGCAGTGACGCGAATGACAGCATACACCTTTAAAGAAACAGCTAGTGAGCTACGTGGTCGTTTTGCCCGCACTGGCCCGGTCAGCATTATTTGATATTATTTATTTAACTGGCCGCCTTCTCCTGAGAACTAGCGTCTTGATACTTTTCATAGTTAATAATCGCCCCAACAACAGCAATTATTCAGAGCAGTTTTATTTAATACCGCATAGATTAAAAAAATATGTATATGAAATGAAACGGATATCCATCCCAATTTTAGGCAGGAACTTCGACAAACTTCCGGCGGCAGCCTTACATCAAAAGAACACGATATTCCCCGTACGCATCTGGATTCATCGTTCCTTATGCAGGAAAGCACAAAAATGATGTAAGAAAATCCCAATTGCGCAGTGTTGTTAACGTTTTTTGACTGAGTGCTTTTTCAGGAGCCAGGTTTTATAGAAGTTTTTCAAGATGAACGAGATCCTCCACTCCCATCTGCTTATAGCGGGCATATCTACTCAACTGATGAGTTAGTTTGTGCTTGTTGTCAACCTTCGGTAGTATTCTTAAATTTGTTCGTTTAGAATGCCAGATAATCATCAAATAAATGACAGTTCTGATGTCCCACAGAATATTCCTGCCAGTATCTCAAGAGGTGCTGCTGCCGTAAAGACAGAAACTGCAACAACATCGACACAGATGCCACCGTCCTCGAAAAGAGGTAAATATAAACTACAATGTTAATATTATAGCATCTGAGTATTTCTAGTTTTTTTTGTATGGAACTGATCACTGCAATATTTCGATTCATAAATATATACATATATATTTATCTATTTATATTTATATATCTCAACTAACCTATACATTTTCAATGAAAATAATGAGGAATGTTCAAGATTTCTTAACTACTCCACGTTTGGCTACATTCAATGGAGCACGACAAAAGAAGAGCTCAAAATCTCTAGGAAATCTGGGTTTAGCAACTCGATTTAATCTGGCCGTAGGGGAGAGCGCGGATAGATCAGGTACATTGGCACTTTGTAAAGTGTGATAGATTCCGCACGTTTGAGTCAAGAAAACATGGTGATCACTGATCCATCAATTTTGCAGAATCATGCGATAATGTTGAGATGCTATTACCATCGTATGAGTCTATTCAAAGTCGCCCAGAAATGGCGGCACTGCCTCCAATCATGCTTATCCCATCAGTTGATCCAGAAGTTATTCATTTGCAAAAAGAGGTGTAGTCTGCCAATGGCTGTTATTTCTGGAAGTTCTCTAGTATTTGCTTTAAATACTTGTTTAGCTATTGCTGCGACAATTGCGGTTGCAGAGGATGCAAGAAAAGGTATTACAAGCCCAGTTCAACACGCTCCGGCTTCCGATAGCCAGGTAATTCTCCAGCGGGTTGTTAGCTCTTTCCCATTCGCATCCGTTTTGAAATAGAATTTACTTGTTATTGCTAAAGTGCTTGCGAGTGCAAGTCAGTTTTCATGTTTTAGAGTTGCATGTTTGAACTCTGTTCTAGAAATTTTCTTTTGCAGATACGAAGAAATTGACCCGGATGGTGGGCAGGTCCAAATTTTAGGAGAAGAAGGTGATGAGGACTTCGTTGGGGTTAGTGTTATTTTTTCTAGTTGTGCATCGCTACGACACTTTGGAGCATTCATGTTTTCACTGCTAGATGTATCTGTAGCTGCAAAGGGCTTGGTTTGAGGCAGGCCCAAGTCGCCCTCATACTGGTCGAATCGAAAATTCGAATTTATCCAATTCTTGTAATATTTTTACCACAACTGTAATTCATTGAGTAAAAATGAGTCATTTTACTACATTAACTGGTTCAATTTAGCTATTTGAAAGTTCGCGGGCAGTCTCGGGAGTTGACTTAGTATGATAGAGACGAGAGAGGGCATCCCTTTTCTTATCATCTCGCGTGCATAAATCGCCATTTGTGGTAATCTACACAATAAATTGGAGGTTATCTTGCACAAAAGTTTAACAACTCGTGCAGAGCTGTTAATGAATGAGAAAAAAGTACATGTTTGCTTGATAGCCGAGTAAAATGATGAATCAACATAATGCATCATAAATTAGTTAGTCAAGCAATCACAAAGCGAAGATTTCTTTCTCTCTCAATATTTCGAACCTCAAACTTTCAGGAGAGAGTTGACGAAGAACAACCAATGAACGTCATGAACAGCGGAGATGAAAGTGGCGATGATATCATGAGGGAATCGTCAACGTAGAGTACATACACCTGATGAAAGAATACCATAGCCTCATACTTCCTTGTACTTCATGTGTGTTTCTGTGTTTATGTAGATGGGATCGCACTGAGTTCCATATTGGGTTCTCCTTTGAAGAAAATCTCATTCAAATCCAGTTACATAGTATATGAAACTGACTCAATTTTGACGGTTCATCAATAATTAGAAAATCTTTCTCGTGTTATACAGCTATGCATCGATTAGTTAAAGACCGGACGAAACCCTTGATTGCAAAATTATCAAATAAAAAGCAACCGTTTTTTGTGTCTTGTGAAGAAGAAATTATTCCGTTCGTTTATGCGCTTCCGTTGTACTGTGCTGCTTCTGCGGCAAAAAGTATAGCTCTTGTAGGTTGATGCATAATTATCCGGACTTCTTTTTGCGTGCTTGTATCTTTTTTGTTTTGAAAGCTTTT